CTACGAACGCATATGCAATCAAGTTTGCTTGATTTATAAGGCGTTCCGGTTCTCGTGTCTGCCTATTCTCCCTCCCCTTCTCAATTGTGTATGGTTCATTGACAGCAAGTTCTTCAACGCCTACATCTTCTGACTCATATTTAACCTGAGTCTCTTGATCCTTTTCCTTGGCAAGCTCAACCGGAAGCTCCACCTGCTCGTTGTTCTTGTTTCCTGAAAACTCCACGGAAACTTTACGGGGATCAAGTATAGAGGATTCATCGAAGGTGACATCTCTACTAACTATAAAAAGTTTGTACCCTTTTATTCCATCCACATACCCTACGAATATGTCCTTCTTAGCCCTTGGTTCAAGATTTCCTTCATTAACGTGATAATAAGCTGGACACCCAAATACTCGTAAGTATGAATAGTTAGAGGGTTCACCTGACCATACCTCATTCGGAGTCTTAAAGTCAATTGCCGATGCTGGAGATCGATTGACAATATGAGCAGCAGTGTGAACTGCTTCAGCCCAAAATACTTTGGACATTTTGGCTTGTAGGAGCATACAACGAGCCTTTTCAAGAAGAGTTCTGTTCATTCTCTCGGCAACTCCATTCTGCTGTGGGGTATGCCTGACAGTCCTATGTCTTGAGATCCCATGAACCTTGCAGAATTCATTAAACTCTTCATTGCAAAACTCCAAGCCATTGTCTGTGCGAAGATACTTGATTTTCCGCTCCATTTGATTTTCAACCAAAATCTTCCACTCTTTAAATGCTTCAAAAGCATCACTTTTTGCCTTCAAAAAATACACCCAAACCTTTCGTGAGAAATCATCAATAAAAATGAGAAGATACCTCTTTCCGCCCTTCGATGGAAGTTTAGAAGGACCCCATAAATCTGAATGGATGTAGTCTAGCACTCCTCTTGTCTTGTGTTTGCCAGTGCTGAAGCTGACCTTCTTCTGCTTCCCTAGAACGCAGTGCTCACAGAAGTCAAGCGTGCTGATCTTCTCACCTTCCAAAAGTTTACGATTGCTCAACATCTCCAGTCCACGTGCGCTCATATGAACTAGTCTCATGTGCCATAGTCTTGCCTTGTCATCATTAGATAACTGCACTGTAGATATATTTGCAGAGCCAACAATGGTGCTTCCGGCCAATGTGTAAAGGCCGTTCTCCAGCTTGCCTTTCAGCATGACTAAAGAACCTTTAGTCACCTTCATAGTTCCTGCTTCGCTCATGTACCTGTAGCCTTGTTCATCCAGAGTACCCAAGGAGATCAAATTCTTCTTCAGATCAGGAACATGACGGACTTGTGTAATAGTCCTCACGATTCCATCATGGCAGCGAACCCGAACTGAGCCAATGCCAACTATTGCACAAGTTGCATTATTGCCCATTACTACGGTTCCTCCACTTTTCTCGTAGCTGCTAAACCAGTCTTTTCGGAACGTCATATGCAGAGTACAAGCAGAGTCTAACACCCATTTGTTTTCATAACTACTATTATTATTACACGATGTTGTTAGTACATAATCATTATCAAAATTATGTACCTGTTCAACTGTAGATGCACTCGCCTTTTCCTTGGACTTTGACATTGGGCAATCTCGTTCAAAGTGCCCCTTCTTGCCACAACCCCAACACTCTGTATTCTTCTTGTTCACACGAGACTTTGATCTGTGCTTTGATTTGGTCTTTCCCTGTTGGCTAGTCCGGCCTCTTACAAAGAGGCCACTTGCCTGGTCATCTCTATCTCCTTCAATGTGCCTCCGCACATCACTAGAGTTAAGTGCCTGCCGCACTTGCTCAAGCTTGATAGGCTCCTTGCTATACATCATTGAATTCTCAATATCACGATATCCTGAAGTCAATGAAAATAGCAAAGCACATGCAAGCGTCTCCTCCTCCCTTTTAATTCCTGCAATCTGTAAGTCCATGACAAGTTTATTAAACGCATCTAAATGATCTTGTAACGAAGTACCTGACCCCATCTTAAATGTGTGAAGACGCCGTTGTAACAACATTCTTGTTGTCACTGATCGGTCTTGGTATAGCCCTTCTAGCTTTTCCCACAACTGTTTGGCCGTCTCTTCGGTACCCGTACTCACTTCACAAAGCACGTTAGGTGCAAGGGATAGTTGGATTGCACTCAATGCATCCCCTTCAATCTTCTCCTTGTCGGGAGCTGATATATCCGTAGGATACTTTCCGTCAATAGCATGGATTGAACCTTCCCTCCGCAGTAACGCCATCATCTGGATCTTCCAGATATTGAAGTTGTTGCGTCCATTGAATCTATCAATTTCAAACTTCATGGAACTCATATTTGCTTGTTCTTTCTCCTTGGATCGTTAAAGAATCCTGTCGCTCTGATACCAATTGTTAGCGGAAACGTAAAAGAAAGAACACAAGATTTAACGTGGTTCGGATCAAAATAATCCTACGTCCACCAGAGAACAATTGCCCTTTTAATATTAACAAAGGAAGGAGAGATTTCCCAATTACACTTAAGAGAATTTCTCTCTTAACTCTCTACTCACTACAATGTATTGTATTATTTTGGGATGATTTCTACAAGTGAAGGAGTGCATCTATTTATAGAGGTAGAGACCTCCTCTTGATGTCATTGGTGACATCAAACTACTTCCTCTTGATGTCATGGGTGACATCAAAGAAGAAAGCTTCCTCCTAGCATCCACACCAACTCTTTCCACCAACTCTTCCAATTGGCATGCCATTGTTGACTAAACATAAACCAACATTTTCAGCATGCCATTGTTGACTAAACATAAACCAACATTTTCAAGATGGTTATAAAATAACAATTACACCCCAGTTCCAAACAAGTTGAGATGGTTATAAAAAAGGGCAGCCCGGTGCATTAAGCTCTCCCTATGCGCAAGGTACAGGAAAGGCTGGATTACAAGGATCTATTGCACGCAGCCTTACTTTGCATTTTTGCAAGAAGATGTTTTCACGGCTCGAACTTATGACCTCCTGGTCGCATGGTTATACCAAAAAAAAGTAAATTTATCCAGTTTAGCTAATGTAGGATAGATGGAACGTATTCTACCAGATTTAGCTACCTCTAATTCTAGGTAATGTAGGATAGATGACTTATATTGTTATCATTGCTAAAATGTTAAGAGATTTTTGGAAAATAATACAACATGGAAGAAAAAAACAGCTGTTTTGAGCAAGGAAACGTGGATACTTTGCTTAACTAGCCTCAATAATAAAATTTCGTCAGTAAAATTATGAAGTCGTCATCATTTTCGTATTAGTCTTTATTTTTTGTTTGTTTAATTTGATTTTTTTTTTTGGTTTCTACTATACACATGTTAACTCAAGTGGTACAAATATTCCATATAAAATTAAAAAAGGTTCCAACTATGCCCATGTACCATCTCAAATTGTTCAACTTTGTCATCAGTTTAAACTTTTAGTTTATTCATACTTTTACATTATCAAATTGTCTCATATCTGACCTTGTAATTGCCCATTAATGTAGAAATTATATCTAAATGAATCCCTTAACTTTTAATTAGGGTAAAAGTTACCCTCCAAGTTCCAAAAGGAAACTTTTACCTTACGGTGAGAATAAGAGCTTGTTTGGACATAAGAAATTTTTCCTTTTTTTTTTTTTCCAAAAAAATTTCACTTTTTTCGAAATCAACATTTGTTCATAAAATTTTCAATTTTCACTTGAAGATGCATTTTGGTAATTTTCGAAAATTTGAAAAACTCCAAAAAGCTATTTTCCAAAATTTTCATTCAAATCACTCACAAAATTTCACAAACAACCCAAAATTATATTCATGTTCAAATACAACTCTAAATTTCAAATACCTTTTTCACTTTAAAAAATTGTTCACCCTATTTTAAAATTTTACAATTCTTATATCCAAACGCGCACTAAATATTACGCCAAAAGTGACAAAAAGACAAATTTGCTCAATTTGAACTAGTACACGAACAAATTTGCCCCCTTTTCCTGAAATTGCTCAGGTTACACAATTGTTCTCAACTTTCAGAAAAAGCATGAAAAAAAGAAAAAAGAAAAGAAAATGTCAAAACTAAAATTCCTAATTAAAAATAAAACAAAAGTTAAAAGAGGAAAAATGGTAAAAAAAAATAAAAATAAGACCGGCATTCTGACTCAACCTTGAATGTTCTGCAAGAAACATCTTCTTCTTCTTCCTCTCCAACTTTTTTCCGGCGGAATCGACTTGTGTAAGTTCCTTATTCTCTCTTGTGCTCTCTCACTATACAAATACCCTAATCCCTTTTTTTCCAATTAAATTGTGTTCCAAACTTGCAAATTACAATTATTTTATATAAAGAAAGCCTCAATTTCAAATTTGCATAGTCAATTTTGTCCCTTTTTTACAAGATTAAACGTACTTATTTGATTTCACCGTGATTTCCTGAAAAAAGGGTTAATAGATTTAGTATCTGTCTTTACATTTTGAGTTTCATTTAGTACTTTGGAAGAGACGGATCCAACACACACACCCTTTTTTTTTGCGTATATATACAAAGTTCGAGCTGAAAGCAGTGGGTTCAGTTGAATGACTTAGCTCCACCTCTTTACTTGAGGCGAAAGCGAAAAAAAATAAAGTTATTTGCTGAACTAGAAAGGAGATTTTTTCATACAGTTTTTTTTTTTTTTTTTTTGTGAATGGTGCTTGTAAATATGCCAAATGTAGCTGCTCTTCATCTTTTTTAAACACACAATCGCTTTGAGACAACGGCAGAGCTAACTTATGCCAATGGGGTTCAATTGAATCCCCTTCTGGGAAAATTGTAGGGATTTTTACACAAATAAGCGTCCAGATTCAATATTAACTTTTTCTAGCCGGTATACATAGATTATACATGAATTATACATATTCTGGCTATTTTTAGTGTAAGAGATTAGGTGGGCGGCTATTTGGATTAATTCTTCAAAATTTGTATTGTGTAACTAGGGGAATAAATTTTTAGGAATATATATAAACAGTTGAATCTCCTTGACATAAGGAAAGACTCTATTTTTTATGCAAAGGGGATTCAAAAATTGCTTCAGGTAATAGGTTTAAATCCTAAGCGTGATATTTTAGTATATTTTTGAATCCCTTTGTTGGAATTTCTGGCTCCGCCGCTGCTTTGAGACTTTTGTCAACTAGGTGTTTGGGATGGATGATGGCTAACAATTTATATGTGTTCTTGTTGTTGTTGCTGTGAATGAAAGAATTATCTTTGTTTCTTTCGAGAAAATGCAACCATTTTATTATCCAGACCACTAATTTCAAGGTCTGGTGTTTGAATCCAGACCAGTTAACTATGGTTTTACCTAAATTCTATTCACTCCCTCGACATTGGCCCTTGACTCTTGAGTTAAAGTTACTATGTTAGATAATTTCTATTTAATATCTGTAACAACAAATAATCCTTTTGTCTACCAAGAACACTAGTTATACGAGAACCCTTATGAGGATTACAAAGTAGAGGAGTAATGCACAAATAACAGAAGCAGTTTTACCCTTTCATTTTCGGTGAAGGTTCACCCTTCTGTTTTCTCCTATCCTAAATAACAAGGAGTTTCACATTTTATGAGTATGACCCTGTTGATTTATGGGGTACTCTCTGTTATCTGATTAAAAAAATACATTCTTCTCAAAAAGGACAAAAATCTTAGCAAGTTTATTTTGGTTGTATGAGCTAGTCACTGCTTATGGCAATTTAAAGCAAGTGTGGATGACATGTCATTTATAGGAATGCAAAAAACTGAGTCTGGAACTTTCTTTAGTAAGGAATCCAAGTCTGGAATTAGAATCGATGATTTTATGTCTTCAGTCAACTATTCCAGTCAGTGACCATTTCTACAGAAGATTAGCTGTCTTTTGTAGAGAACTGGAGTATCTTTTCCTGTAGGTTCTCTCTTTCTGGTGTAGTGCTTGAATACTGTTTTGTTCCCACATCTTTTAGATATCCAATAACTTTTCTATTCAAGCCAGTGACCAATTTGCATAAAATCTGGAAGTCTGCTGCTTTCCTTTTTCCGGTTCTCTTTTCTTCTTTTTCTATATCTTCTGCTGGATGTTGACGAACGAAAATAATTTTGTGGTTGTAGCTCATCTAAGTTGAGGTTAGTGCTTGAGGAATCTTCTTGAACATATTCTTGGGTTAAGTTGAGTTTGAAAATAAGCTTTAATGCAGCTGTTTCACCCTAAAATAGGGGAAACTGAGCCAAAACATTGTCATTTTTTTGCTCACGTTGGTTGCATTCTTCATGCTAGTTTTATTTAGCTTCCTGTCAAGTTTACACTTGCCATGGAGCTGTTTATCTTTTCCTTTTCTTATGTCATGCTGATTCAGGAGAAGAGCCTTGGCGTAACAGGTAAAGTTGCCTCTATGTGACTGGGAGGTCACAGGTTCGAGCTGTGGAAATAGCCTCTTGCAGAAATGCAGGGTAAGGCTGTGTACAATAGACCCTTGTGGTCTGCCCCTTACCTGGACCCCACGCATAGAGGGAGCTTAGTGCACCGGTTGCCCTTTATGTCATGCTGATTCAGTTTTTGGTCTCATAAAACTGTTTCTTTTTACTTTTCATTTTCATATTATTGTTTTGTTATTTTTTCTTCTCTGTCTTCACTTATTCGTTTTTTTCCTTCCGGAAAGGTGTTTTTTTTCTTATGGAAGTACTTTAGAATCATATGCTAGTAAGAAGTACTTGATTATCCAAACACATTCTTTAAAATTGTCGACCTCATGTTGCCAATCAATCAGTTGGGACTCCTCTTGACATTAGGAAAGTTGATTGCCACTGATCATGTGTTATTTAAGATGGACAAATATTTGTAGAGTTTTCTTTCTTGGGTTATTTTCTCCACTAATTATCGTAGTCATTAAGCTACTCCCCAGTCTAGTCCATGTGGGCCAGCTAGCCTCCTCTTTTTAAATACAATTATTGCGGAGTAGTAATTTGGATGAGGGCATCTACAAACCATAGTATTGAAGTGAATCTCCGCAGCTTGTTAAGTAACCAGGTCTTGTTCTTTCTTCCAGAATGTGGTCTTGTTCGATTCTTTCTTTTTTATCTTTTCTTCAAGTTCATATTTTCAATGGTGTTGGCGAACGAGATAATAAAGATGGCTGGATACTATAAGCAACTCATTTGGAGAGATGTCATTGATCACCTCAAAATTTGGAAATCAATCCGAGTTAGAATACATGATAGCATTGCTAACATACCTCCTAAAACTGAGATTTGGATTGTCTTGCCAATTTGGCGATCTCCAATTGTAGTTGTGTTATGATCTCGATTGTTTGTGCTTGGTCTTTCAATTTTTTACACTGACCTTATGTCGTAGAGCTTTGTGGCAATTACTCTCTAGCTTTTGCCCTTCTTGCTATAAGAACCTACGCTTGATAGATGGCCTCGCTTCATTTGTTGATCTCCAAATTTTGTCGAAAGGCTATGTTCTTAAGCTCTTTGACTTGGTGATGTGCTTTGGCAATTGAATTTATTTATAGCCTATCAATCATGGGATATGTGTCCATAAGTGACAAATACATATTTTGTTGAATATTTGCAGGTGAGAGCTTGACCAAAGAGAGATGGAAGACGTACTAACAGAAATCCCTCCACCTTCAAGGTTCTTTTTGGAAGATCTGAACAACTTTTGTCCTCCGTCTCCTCCTCTTCCCTCTCCATTCCTGTTGTTTGCAACTCCTAAACCGGAGAAATTTTCTCGCCCTTCTCTCCTCATCATTGCCCTGTCTTCACCATCACTTCAAGTTTTACATCATGTGTCCTCCAAAACCCTTGTCGGAACTCTTATCCTTCCTGAAATCCCATTCTCTGGCAATTCAGTCGAGCCCTCTCTTAAAGATAAATCGTGCAATATATATGCCCTGAATGAAGCTGATAACTTGATTATGATTGTGTCCGTACAATATCCAGTTACTGCAGAGAGATCTCATACAGTGGCAAAGCTACTGATTGGAGAACAGATTATTCCAGAAAAGGTCTTAATCCTGGACTCCATTCGTAGTAATATCTTTCGAGGAAAACTTTCACCTGATGAAGCGTTTGCATTTAAGCTGGAATCATCTGCAGAGAGAAAAGCAAAGGCTGATGGACATCAAGATTCACCACTGGTAAAATGCGCAGACTATCTTCCATCAGGAAGTGTTGTCGATGGCTTGGCGGCTGCTTTATTGAGCCGATGTCAGTTGAAGAAGATCAGAGGAACCCTGTGTGTTTCATGGCCTGAAGCTGGTATTTCAGTTATATCACTTGTTATATCTCTACTGCTCAAGGATGTCCTGTCCGGCGTGAATCATATTAACGTTGGGGATCTTGAGGAGGAATTCCTAAAATTAGGTAGGAACAAGGATTTCCTTCTTGATTCTGAACTCTATACATGATATGATGTCTTTGATTTAAAACAGATGGAACCTTGTTCCTTCTTTTTGTTAGATTTCGATGTAGTTTGAACAAAGCAATATTTTCATCAGTTCCTGGATTACCAACTTGAACATGGTTCACCATGTCAAATTAATTTCATGTTTTACAGCTTTTAGAGAGTGATTTTCTAGGTGTTACAGTCAGACTTATCTATAACAGCATCTCTATATAACAACACTTCACTATAAAAGTCAAGTTTTTTCCTGAACCAATTTTCATGGTATGTTATAATATATGTTTTGTATAACAACACTTTTTTATAACATCCAAAAATATTCGGAACAAACGAGGTTATAGGGAGGTTTGACTGTAGGATTGTTTCCATTTAGTTCATAGACTTGGATGCTCAGATTATGGAACTTTATAAACTTAGATATTTTAATATATATTTTCAACATATCTTTTACTTTGGCTTGATTAAACTTTCAATATATGTTTTTTGTTTTTAACCATTGGTATCCGGAATTCACTAGTTCGACTAAGCTGGAATCATGGTGCTCAAGAATGTTTTTATTCTTAGGGTTTGAACCAAATAACGAGGAACATGGAAGATGTGAGAGAAGATAGAAAAAGATCCAAGAAAAATCAAATCTTGTATAAAACGATTAACCGAGAGAAAATGCTGGTGAAACACTTATGCTGGTAATGTTTATGTAACCTTTTCTTTTATTACGACAATGTTCAGTTCAGATTGTGCATACTTAAGCTATTTCATCAGTACCAGATAACTCTATTTATCAAGACTAAAGAATTTTTTTTCCTTCAAAATATGCAATTTTGGCTTAACAATTTTAGTGGCATGGCTTTTTAATAAAAATGAAAAGAAAATTATAGAAGAGATAAAAGCATAACGGAAGAACAAATGGAATCCGTTGTTGGACATGCTATAAGTCACGCATACCAAATGCGATTTATAAGTCTGATGTGTCATGACTCATAAGTCGCATTTGCATAATGCAATTTATTAGTCGCATTTCCCAAAAATGATTTATGAATTGCATTTATGGAATGCGATTTATATTTGCAAATAAACACCCCTAATTTTTTTTATTTTCGATCTTCGTTGTGACCATTATTTGTTACATGTAATTTTTTTTCTTCAAAATTGTAGCTCTTCATTTACATTCTGTAATATAGAATGACAAGAAGTTTCTCCCATACATGTAATGAGTTATTTTTCAATTTAGTAAAGCACATATTTACGGGAGAAATTCAAAAATAGCCAGATTTATAACTGGTCGTTCAAAAATAGCCCAGTTTTAAAAGTAATCGAAATTTAGTCACTTTTCATGTAAAGATAAATCTGAGCGAAAACACTATTCAAAACCCGGATAATACGCCAGTATATTATGCTGGAGTTCTAGCATAAGTATACTTGAACTCTAGCATATTATACTGGAGTTCCAGGATAAGTATGCTGGAACTCCAGCATAATATGATGGAGTTCCAGCATAAGTACACTAGAACTCCAGCATAATATACTGGAGTTCCTAAGTATATCGGTCCAACATAATATACTGGAGTTTGGAGCACCAGTGCTCCAGTCTCCAGTATATTATACTGGATCCAGCAAAGTATACCGGTCCAGCATAATATGCTGGAGTTCATACACAGGTGCACCGAGCTCCAGTATATTATGCTGGACCGGTCTCTGTTGCAGCAAAATAATGACTATTTTTCATTGACTTGGTAAACGTTGACTATTTTTGAATGACCAGTCCGAAAATTGGCTATACCGTGCTATTTTTACCATATTTACTAATGACTTAAACAAATTCAACTAATAAAACACTGTTGACTAGATACATGTATTTGTAAATTCCTACATTTATCAAAGAATATTAGTGAATTTCTATATTTCTAAAAATTCATTGATTATAAGGGTTAACCATCAAGAAAAATTTATATTTTTAATTAGGGATTCTCTACCGGAGAATATAAATGAAGAGTAAAATTTGACAAAGAAAAATTTATATAATCGCTGTCACGCTTTGCGACTTATTAATAGCGTTTGAGGATGCGACTTATGAATCGCTTGTGTTGTCCGTATAAGGAGGTCCAATCTGTAAATATCCCAAACCAGAGGATCAACAAGCAAATTCCATACTCTTTAAAAATTTGCAAAACCCAGCAAAAGTATACCTCAGTACTATTTCACTTCCAAAACCCTCCCACCAAAAACACAAAGCAGAAGCAACAATGGAGGGCGTCTCGTACCAGAGATTCCCAAGGATCAAAATCCGTGAAGTTAAAGACGACTACATGAAATTCGAGCTGCGCGACACCGACGCCAGCATAGCCAACGCGCTTCGGCGCGTGATGATAGCAGAAGTCCCAACTATCGCCATTGACCTCGTTGAAATCGAGGTCAATTCCTCGGTCCTCAACGACGAGTTCATATCTCATCGTCTGGGTCTCATCCCGCTCACTAGCGAGCGCGCAATGAGCATGCGTTTCTCCCGTGACTGTGACGCGTGTGACGGTGACGGACAGTGCGAGTATTGTTCCGTTGAGTTTTACCTCCGTGTCAAGTGCCTTAGTGACCAGACGCTCGATGTTACTAGCAAAGATTTGTTGAGTTCGGATCATACTGTTGTTCCTGTCGATTATTCCGATGCTTCCTCCGGTTTTGATAATTCTACCAATAAGTGAGTTTTTTCCTTTCTTTGCTGGTTTATGGACTCTAACTAGTTTGGAACTGAAGCATTATTGCTGTTCTTCTTGTAAATAAGCCTACTTAAAATATGGGATATGTAATGTTGAAAAGAAGACAGCTTATCTGCTACAACAGGTAACTATGACCAGATGGTGTAGAAATTCCTTATACTGACATTGTATATAACTTAAACTCTGATACAATTTAGGTGCTTTATATAGCGTTTAAGTTTTTATGGACTGACGGTGTACAAAAAGTTGACACAACTAGGTCGCTTGATAGGTAATTACAGGTCAATTTCTTGATAAACATTAATTGGTAATTTATAAAAAAATGGTTAATCTGTTATCACAGGTTAAAGTTCGGTGTAAGTGTAAAAAAATCTTTAATAGTGTCAAAGTACATAACTTGTATCTTTTCTTTGTACGTATAGGCATTAAGCTTCTCGAGCTATGATAAATCTTCGAATAAGTTAGTATTTTCTTGCACACTTAGCCTACTCTAAGTAGTTTAGGTTGACACATTTTTGTTGTTGCTATTGTTGGTGTTATTGTGTCGAAATTTTTTATTCGTTTGTATTTAACCTTAAACCAGGTAGAGAGGTTTTTAAGTTTATTTTTCCAGAAATTGGGAAATCATATACGGTACTTGTCAAAGTAGGGTCGAGATGCTTTCGAATGCATAAATCTTTGGTTGCATAAGATGTAGCGCTTTCTTTGAGTAATTCGATGGTGAAAAATTATAGGAGTATTTAAGTTGGGACAGAGGGGGTAGTAAAGTTGCCATTTTTGGATTTGGGATGAGTGATTTGTTGATTTTTTTGGTGTCTTTGAATATATGGGTATTTTTTATCTCCATAGCTTCCAACAAGGAATTACATCATTCTGCTGTGGGATAGTTCTTTTCAGAGGTCATCTTTTTTGATAGAGATTGCAGACTGATGTTAGTGTTTTTGAGAAATTAAGTGCAGTCCAGTTTGGCTGAAGGATTACAAAAAAGGGTGACTTGATTCTTGTTTCCAGTTGGTGAATCTGTTTTTTGGGCAGATGCACATTAGGTGCCTTTGATATGTCTTATGTCTATGGACTGCAGAAGATTATCCTATAATTTAGTTGAATTATCATCTTGTGCATTTTCATAATAAAATGATCAGATATCAATCAAGCTCCTGATGAACTTAGTAAATAGTGTCACTTTTCTCGAAAGGATAATAGTTTTGAAGGTAGTGTTAATTAGAGCGTGCCACATGAAGAAGGATAGTAGTTTATCTTACTCAAACGTTTTTCTGTTCATTGATATTATGAGGAAATAATGTTCTTTCTAATATGCTTATTTTGGAGATTTATGGTGCTGAAGGTCTTGGTTTGTACGTGCTTACTATCCAGATAGGCTATTTACCGTCTTGCTTTCTTTTATGCAGGGGAATCATAATTGTGAAACTACGACGTGGGCAGGAGTTAAGGTTAAGAGCAATAGCACGGAAAGGAATTGCTAAAGATCATGCGAAATGGTCTCCTGCAGCAACTGTGACTTTCATGTATGAACCAGATATCTACATCAATGAGGACATGATGGAGACCTTGACTCTCGAGGAGAAAAGAGAATTAGTAGACAGTAGTCCCACAAAAGTCTTTGGCATTGATCCTGAAAACAAGGTTGGTTGAACTTCGTACTTTATATGTTTTATTGCTGTAAAATGCCATACTGTTATGTCTAAACTTTTTCCTCTGATTTGGTGAACACTATCTGTGGTTCCTATTACCTTTTTTTCAATGGACAACATGTCATGCTTTATTTGGTGAGGAACATGAATGAACACTCCCTCTGCCCCCGTTAACCTGAGGCCTAAGCTTATATCAAGATCTTTTATCATGCTCGGCTTCTGTTGTTGTTGCGCTCTTACCAAGAAAAGGCACTGTAAGTGCAGGAAAAGAATTCCTCTTTTCAGGAAATATTGAACACTTTCAGACGAAAAGAGAAAACACAAGTAGAAAGTTAATTTGGAATAGAGGGAGTACTTGAGTTTACTCGGCTGATACAGCTGTCCTTGATTGCTTGTGTGTATAAAATATGAGTAAGCTCCTCATATATGGTATAAATAACTGTGGAGCATGAACTGTTTTTGCATATTACCATTTTGTTTACTATTTCTTCTGATTGGTAACAGTGGCTGTAATTAATGTATAGAGTGATCCTTTTAGTTCCTTTTTTGTGCTTTCTGGAATCTGTCATGAATTGTAGGTTTAGTAATATTTGTCACAAACAACAATTTTCTTTCAGGGGAATGTTTTAGTAAGGACTATATGAGGAGAAATTTACTATTTATGCACAACTGAACTGACTTAGGATGATGACTTTCACTGGGATGCTTGGAGCTTGTTATGGTAGAGAAAATCATAGCAAGAAACTAGGGTGGAAGTCAGCCTAAGTAGTCATATCCCATCCACCTTTCCTGAAAACTTGATTT